GAGTTTGAAAATCACACCGGGGATTAAGGGAGTGTGGGATGAGTTGGTTTCTGCTTTGATAATTATAATGACACTTCATGTGGCCACTATATACTTCCCCACAGGTGGAAGGTAGAAACAGATGAAATTGTCCTACAGCGGCGGCAAAAGCAGATAGATTATGGCAAGCGCACACCTGGTTACCAGTGTTTTCTGCAGCAGGTCCCCAAGTGAGTGTTGTTGTGGGTAGTCACAACAGTCTCAGTCAAGTGGCTTTGGTTCAATGTCAGGTGATGGGAATATACTAGAATGTGAGTGCTCTCACAAACTTGGAGTATTACTAAAACAAATTCTCCTGCAACCTAGCCCCAAGGTTAAGTCACACTTAGTCCAGATAAGGCTTTTTTAAAAGCCTATCTTAAAAAAACACCATAAAAAACCAAAACAAAAACCCTCTATCCATGTTTGCTTATGAAGTTTTTTCTTTCCAACCATTTTTACCTCATGCCTCCAGCTGACTTGGCTAACTGAAATGTATTTACCTAATCACATGAAAGTGTACCTGCACACATACAAACTAAACGTATGAAAGGTAGAGTGTGTTTAAAAGGGATGCCAAATACTGTCTTTTATATCTATCTTGACTTCTGAGGGAATTGGAATATCTAATTTAACCTTCCCAGAAGAAAGAATATTGGGAGTTAGGAAGTATGATGTTTAATGTGACTTGAAGATTTTTTTCTGTTGGATTGAGGGCATTGATCATACCTAATTCTCAGAGAATCCCTAATAAGTCTCCTGATTCACCATGATAAGCAGTGAGCTGTGCCCCCTACACCTTGATCTCAGTCCGACTCATAACTGTTGTTGCCAGGGCACAACGACAGCCAGGACTTCATCCTCAGACACCAAACAAAAACAGGAGATATAGCCGCCGCTCCTGGGATGCCCAGATCAGGCAATGGAGAAAAGCACTACATTCCTGGGACCCGCCCAGCCAGGCTCTGCAGGGCAGGCGGGCTGAGGGGTATGTGCACTATTCTTGATTTCTTCCTAGAGTGGTGGACTGAGCCCCACCTCTCCCCATTTTGCAGAGATTTAACTTTCACTGGCTAAAAAGGGAGAGTCGGAATGAGGTTGCATGCTCCTCTGACTCTGCTGCCTTCCTAGGCAGGGAATGGAGACTCGTCTCTTAGAACCAATGGATTCCACCCCTTTGGATGACCTCCGGATGACTGGATCCAGCCCCTGGAACCCTAAGAGAATCTGGATGGAGACCAGAAGGGAGCCCAGGTAGTATCTTCTGCTGAAACCCACTAGAGTAGGGTCAGAGATGGGGTCTGGTCTATGAGGTCACAATTAAGATGGGGTTCAAGCTAGTAGCCCAAGAACAAAAAAGGAAAATGAGGCATCAGGAAAAAAATACCATGATATGAGTAAAAAAACTTGAGAACTAAAAATGGCATAAGGATATTTAATTATAGTTTGTAATGGGCTGCACTGGGGGCTATTTTATACTTGATGAAAGAGTTGTAATCTTCTTTTGAAGTGAAGCTTGAGACCTAACTTGCAGGATTTGTTTTTTAACTCTCAATTTCAATGTTTTTCAAATGAGCCAATGCTAACTTAACTTCTTATACTCAATCATTTAACTTTAATAAGTATGGTTAATAATAAAAAGGGGGGATCTAGTGGTGAAAACCAAGGGCTTTAGAGCCTCAGACTGCTTTTTAAAATACTACCTTTGTCTACCACATGGGCAGTCACTTAACCTCTCCAGCCATTTCATGTCAAATAAGATTTTTCCCCATTTGATGATTGTAAGCAAAAATGAGAATACATATTTGAAGTACGTAGCAAGGTGCCTGGCACGTAAGTGCGCCACAACAGGAATTATTGGAAACCATATGTCCTGTAACTTCAGGCCCCTGCCAGTTCTTTTGCCAGGGGAAATGGGCAAGGCAAAGGAAATGTGAGGTATATCTTCCCTTGACCCCATTTTCTTACTAAGTACCTAACTTTTCCTCCTCTTTTTCAGTTTGCAGACTAGGTGGCTCTGACTCCTCCCTTCCCAGGCTCTGTGAAGATCCCCACCACTGGTTCTACTTTCTAACTGATCACAGCTACTTATCTGTCCCGGATTTGAGTGGGGTACACATTATTTAGGAAAAAGATACCTTTCAGGGGACCTGTTGCTAAATGTAGTAGTGAGGATTTACTTGCACAACTGTTACTTTCCCATCGATTAAAAATCTAAAATTCTGCCCTACAAAGAGACCACAACACGAAGGCATTGTTTAAAACCTCTCCTTTTCCATGTTTTGCCTGTCTCTCTCAACCTTCTTTGATTGATGAGACTCAAATTCACATAGGAACCAGAAACCTATTCCCCAACCTCTTCACCTACTAAGGTCGACATTGTCTTCAAAAAGGACTTAAACTTTGGCTGTGGTGGCAGTGGTGGTGGTTTAATAAAAGGTGGTTTACTCTACCTGAAGAGGAAATATAGCACCATCCACATCTTTTCCCCATCTGCCTTTTTCCTCCCTCCCCGTCTTAAGGAAAGTGGTCCAGCTGTAACTACCGTACTCCCCCCGACACCCGCCCACGCGGGTTCCTGAGCCGCCTATGATGTCATAATCACAATCCCATTACCTCATCCTGTTGAGGGGGGGCGGTGCGTAGAGGGAGGAAAAGAAGTGATCAGCCCTGGGCCCTCCTCAGCTTTACAAAGTTTTTGGCTGAGGGCTAATCACAGAACCAAACGGGAACAGCCCCCCAACTGTAGTAAGTCCTGGGTTGATAAGGTTCGAGCCGATCTGGCCGCTAGAAGAGGGGCTCCTGGGACTTAGAGCAGGCCCTAATCGGGGCTTGGACTACACTTCCCAGAAGCCTTCGCGCCGCGGACGGGTCCTCTGCTGGGGGAATGGGGATTCCTCCAGAGAGGCGGCGGGAGGAGGTGCGAGAGGAGAGCAGGTGAGAGGGACCTTGGCTACTTCTTATTAAGCGGCCCGAGCCGATCAGAAGGCTGTCCGTGGCCCGATGGAGGAATGGAGGACGGGAGCCATAGCTTTGTTTACCTTCGTCTGACGCGGCCTCCCCCGCGGCTTTCGAGACGTGCCTCCAACTGGGCCTGTCCACCTTCTGCCATATTTTGCAGGGGGTGACTCCATAGTGAGGAAACCGCCCTCATCCTCAAACCAAAGAACCGGGCTCCTCCCTGACAGCACTACCTAAGAAAGGCTTCGAGGGAGAAGCGACGCGAGTCTCGAGCCCCCGCGAACAGCTCGGGGGGACTCGGGGGGCAGGAGTGGTTCCCCCACTCTCCTGAGGGGCCCGTTGGTTCGCGCCGGCGCCTTTTAAGGGCACCGTGGGGTGAACGGAGCGCTCAGAGCTGCTCCGGCCGCGGCCCTGGGAGCTGGAGGAGCCGCGGTAGGTGGCGGAGGGCAGGTGGCGCTCGGGCCTCGGGGCGGGCTCCTCGGCCGGCCCTCCCTCTCTCCTTCTCTCCCTTCCCCCAGCCTGGCCTCCCGCGCGCCTGGGCCTCGCCGGCCGCCTCCGCGGGGAGAGCACGGGACCCGGTGGGGGAGGGGTGGCGGAGCGCTGAGTCCCAGACCCTTCCCATCCCCTGCGTCCTGAGTTCGCTTCCGCGGCCGGATGATGGAGGCTCATTGGGAAGAGAGGAGCGACAAGCCCCCTCCCGAGCGAGCCCTGGCGCCCCCATAGGGGCCCGCGGACGACCCATGCCCCACCCCGCGGGGACAGGCAGGGCAACCGAGGGGGAGGTTGGAAATTGGAGGGGGGGGGGGCCCTAGCCTCTTGCTTCTTCATCGGGGCGGGGGGGAGGGGTTCGCCCCACTTGTCGCCCCTCTCTCCACCAGAGCCATCCGGGGGAAGAGCAGTCAGACCCCCGCTTACCTGTTCATGCACCTCCCTGCTTCCTCCTGTTTTCCTTCAGTCTCCCCAGGAGGGTTGGGGCTGGGACCCGAGGGAAGGTCCCCGGAGGATTTGTGACTCGCCTCCTCCCCATGAGCCTGACTTGATGCTGGGTTCTCCGGGCTTCAGTACGACCTCAGCATCCCTGCAACCCGAATGTCAGGGGTGACTGCCATCCAATAGGGCGCGGGGTGAGGGTCCGACCTTTATTTCGGGGGGCCGATGGTGGGGGGGAAGCTGGATTGAGAGCTGGGCCTGGTGGGATGGTGGGGAGGGCCTAGCGGCCTGCTGCTCTCTGCAGGGCTGAGCCCCGTGCCAGTTCAGCTGAGAAGTTTTAACTTGTTTAAGTGAACGTGCAGGGTAGTCTCTGCCCCTCGGAGACACAAAATGGAAGGGGAAGGAAGGCTCAAGAGAGGGCTTCTTGCACTTTTTCTCTCTGCCTGCCCGAGAAAGAGGAGGCCCCTCGCGGAGCTGGTTTGCCTTCTTTTGTGTCCTGGTTGGATTCCTTATGGCTTCCGTTCTGTTCCCCCTCTCAGCCTGGCCTGTTTGAGGAAACTCAGGCTGAGAGGATCAGTTGCGTGGTGGTAGTTGCATTGTTCCAATTACCGCCGTGTGTGGCCACATCCCAACAATTAAAACGCAGAAGAAGAAAACAAAAAAAACAACAACACGAAATCACTCTCTTCACTTGATCCCAGAGAGGACTGGGAGTTTGCTGTTTGGCCAAATGCCTCATGAAAAGCTTGCAAGAGTTTTGCTTCACACTCTGCTCCTCATGCCTGGTCAGCCTGTTGTCAGCCTGAAGCCTAGGGTCTCGAGGGTAAACGCCTGCAGTTCGGTTTCCTCTCTGGTTCATCTTTGAGGGTAGAGTTAAGAAACCAAGAGCAGAAGTGATAGAAGCGTTAGCTTCTCCCACAAGAACATAGTAGGGGAAGCGGCTGAAGAGAGCTCTCAAGAAGCTGGAACTTCGCTCAGGGTTGTAATAATTATGTGTGAAAATGATAGTTAACTATAATGATGATTGACTACTCCCACACGTTTCTTCCAAAAAACTCCAAGTATGTCCACGTGTATTTCTTTGCTTTTCCTTGTGGCCTGCCTCCCTCTGAGGTGGGTGTGGGGTAGAGATGATCCCTTTTTTGTAAAAGTAGAAAGTGATCTTGCCCCCCAAGGTCACAGAAGAGCCCTTTTGGGCTTCTGTGGGTATTGAGGTGATGGCGGTTGGCATCTAATCAAATAGATGAACCTGGTTGCCTTCCTCTTAATGTTATCATCACCTGTGGCAGCCTGAGGCTTTGTAGAGCAACAAACAGGAGGGATGAGAAACAGCCTATGTGGACTGGTTTGTACAGGCCAGATGGTATGCTGCTTACATTTTGGTATTGTCTGTTATGTTGGATGTGACAGATTAAGATTATTCAGCCTGTTTTACATGTGTAAATTGAGACTAAGACAGGTTAAATGATTTGCCAAAACTGCCACAGCAAATAGGACCAGGATTGAGATTTCTAGATAGTTTATTCTCTCTACTAGCAAATGCTACATATACCCTCTGGTGAGCGGTCGGCCTGCTAGTCACTTCTGGGAATAGGCAGAATAGTATGAAGACACTAGTAACCTCCCCTCCTCCCTTGAGTAATTACGTGGGCTTAAAGCCTGTTATCTGATAGAATTAGTTTGTTTTTACCAAAATTGACCTGAGAAAGAGTCTTGATTAATTGTATTCATGATTTTTGAGTCAGATCAGGCTAAAAACTTAGTTGAATAAAGTCACAGAGTTTTTAACATCTATAGAGTTGAAATGTAATTGGAATTACCCTAGTACCATTTCCTTATCCTCTTCTCATTTTATAAGAGAATATATACAGTATCTGTTGGAAAATTATATCAGCCGGTCAGGCTAAGGAAAAACTTAAAACCTCACTGACTGTTGTCTGAAGCAGAAAGTCATTCCTATAACCACTGCTCCTCCTGTTTCCTATTATTATTTCTGTAGTCTAGGTAAAAGGTACCTCTTTGCTTCTGATAAAGAAAATAGTGGGCTAATCAGGATGGAAATAACCATTTGGTCATTCCTCTTTCTCACCTGAGCTGTTTTCTAAGTGGTGCCTGTATTCTGGGTAGACAGCAGAGCATGAACCAAGTTAGGAGTGGCAAATAGCTTTCAATTTGCTTGCCAACTTCAGTTCATTTTACTAGATATCTGGACTGCCAAGCTTATAATGTGTCTGAGGCTATGTTTAGGCTTAGCAGGAAAAAGCTGTGATCAATTAATGATGTCTGCCAGAGGCCTGGCATAGGGATGCTGTGCTATGTGTGCCATGCATTTTCCATCTCTGGACCAGGTACATCTCTAATATCACTTGGGGCTGGTCCCTCTGTAATTGGCAGACTCAGCAGGCATGACTGGAGAGGGAAGTCCCAATGGTGCTAGAATGGTGCTGCAGTGGCAGAAGACGGCTCACGAGTGAGGTCTGGAAGAACAACAGGGAAGACATCCATCATTTGCTCCAAAGTGTGCAAGTCAGATCCTGGGGAGAATCATGATAACCCTGATCACTGAGCAGCTACAGAAACAGACTCTGGATGAGCTGAAATGCACACGCTTCAGCATCAGTCTGGTAAAAGACCAGTCTTCCTGCTTCTCCACGACCCCCTTCCCCTTTTTACAGAGGCTGTTTGTTGCTACTACTTCACCCTTGTCCTATGCCATATGAGTCATGGTACTTATACTGGAAGAGTCCACTAAAAGCTCAAGAAACCCAGCCCAAAAGGAAGGGAGCAGGGATTTTTCCACTGATAGAGAAGGGACACCAAAACTTGGGTGGAGAAGGGTTTGAAATATTGGAAGATGTGCATTATTTTACTCACTAACTTTGGGAAGACAAGAAGAGAACACTTAAGAGTCCCTAACATCCCTATAGCCCAGGAATTGCAGGGGTGAGCTGAACAGAGCTTCTTGGAAATCTGTGTCCTGAACCTAAATCATGGTGGATATTGTCTCTCTCCTAGCCTTTGCCTGATCATGCAGACATCTCCAACTGTGGGAACCCTTTCCAGCTTGTGCCTGGTAAGGTATTGTGTGTTTGCATATATGTGTGTATGCCCATGCTTCCATCCACATATTTCTTTCATTGGTTTCCAGTGACCAGGACTAGGTAGCCTACCTCCCTAACATTCTTTCCAGGGTCACCTTCTGAGATGGGCACTTGTCTCTGTTTTACATATCATTATGTAATGTTGAACATTTCCTTGTTTTACATTGTTGCACTGTAGGGGTGTACCATAGTTTATTTAACCAGTCTCCTATTAATGTACATTAGGTTATTTCCAAACAAGACCATAGTGAATAGCCTTGTACATGTTAGTCATTTTACACATGTGAATGTGTATCTGAGGTATAAATTATGAATTATTCAATCAAAGGGTCTGTGATCATGGGGGCAGGCATCACTATTGTACAACCAGAACTTTAACCCATGATGCTGGGCTGCTGTGCAGCTCATTTTCTTTTCTAGGATACCTGGCCAGGAAAGTAAGTTGGCAAAAGCATCTTCATTTAATTTCTTCCTCTGATTTATTAAATACTTGCTGTGAGCCAGGTATTATGTTCTAAGTACATAATAGGATACATGGTCCCTGCCCTCATGGAGGTTAGTAGGGGGCAGAACTGTTGACTAAAAATGTTAAGTGTGGGTTTTCTCCATCAAGCATGACTTCGTATACTTACCAGTTGTTCCAAATATCTAGTTTCTGCAGAATGCAGTCAGCTAGCTAGAGGAGCTTGGAGTAGGTCCTTTGTCTCTTAATGAGCTGCCTCCCAGAAGTCAGAGTTTTGGTTAGAATTCAGTGAGGACCATTCATTTTAGTCCATTTTCTCTTCCACCCCTCAGTCCACCAATCTGTTTGAATTTCAGAGCAGGCCTATGGGAAAGGAGTCAACATATTTGGGTGACCAGACACAGGAACACGAGTAGCACAAAGTCTTAGGGTTTCCCAAGCATGGTTCCACTATCAAAGGCCTTTTGCATCCTGTTTGCCCTCCCTAGCAATAAAAGTGATCTCTTACCTGTTTGATTACCTCTTACTCCCTGGTAACCCTAGCTCCTATTTTGGTGCTGTTGAGACATGGAAAGGGGAAAGGCTAAGGAAGGAGAGGATAGGCCAGCTGGGCGGTTGGGGAACAAAGTAGGTCTAGGTTGAGTGGAGTGAGGGATGAGCAGGGCACACAGACAACGTTTGTTTCTATTGTTTTACCTTTGAGAGGGAGTGGCAAGGCGCTGTATGAGTGTACTTTCAATTTCATGTGTTTCGTCATAATGGAGGCAGAATAGCATAGTGGTTAAAAGACCTAACTTTAGAATCAGACAGACCAGGATTTGAATCCTTTTTTGGTCATTTGATTGCTACATGACTTGGGGCAAGTTACTGGACTTCCTATCTGTGAAATGGGCATAATAATAGGTTTTTGGGAAGCCTCACATAAAGTGTTCATTACATTATGAGCACATAGTAAGCTCTTAAAAATATATTAGCTATCATTAATATTAATTTTACTATGAATGCCTTCCAGAAGGTGCTTCCTGGAGGGGCCTGCCCCACTGTTCCTGTGCCGAGTTCCAGGACAGCCTCAACCTCAGCTACCACCCGTCAGGCTTGAGCCTGCACCTCAGACCACCCAGCCGGGGAAGCTCCCCACTGGAGCAGCCCCTCTCCCAAGTTCTAAGCCCTGAGCCCCCCGACCCAGAGAAGCTTCCTGTGCCCCCAACCCCTCCATCCAAGAGGCACTGCCGCTCACTCTCAGTGCCCGTGGACCTGTCTCGCTGGCAGCCAGTGTGGCGGCCTGCCCCCTCCAAGCTGTGGACTCCCATCAAGCACCGAGGCAGTGGTGGAGGGGGTGGGCCGCAGGTGCCTCACCAGAGCCCTCCAAAGCGGGTCTCCAGCCTCAGGTTCCTCCAAGCTCCCAGTGCCTCTTCTCAATGTGCCCCAGCCCACAGACCCTACAGTCCACCTTTCTTCAGCCTGGCCCTGACCCAAGATTCCTCTCAACCCTGCGCTGCCTCCCCCCAAAGTGGCTCCTGGGAGAGTGATGCTGAATCCCTGTCCCCTTGCCCACCCCAGCGTCGATTTTCCCTATCACCCAGCCTGGGCCCACAGGCAAGCCGCTTCTTGCCTTCTGCCCGGAGCTCCCCTGCATCCTCCCCAGAGCTGCCCTGGCGACCCCGGGGCCTCCGCAACCTTCCTCGAAGCCGCTCACAGCCTTGTGATCTGGATGCCCGAAAAGCTGGAGTGAAGCGGCGCCACGAGGAGGACCCCCGGCGGCTAAGGCCTTCCTTGGACTTTGACAAGATGAATCAGGTGGGACCAGCCGGATTAAGGAAGCTTGAATGGGAGCAGAGGGACTGTGTTCTCTTTCACTTTTAAGCTGCCCTAGTTCCATGCCTTCCTGGCAGGGCCTCCCCCGGAGCTCCTTTCTGTCTGAGCTTTCACTAGAGTGATCTACCATCCCAGTTTGCCCAGCACTGTCCTGGTTTTAGCACTGAATCCTGAAGTCCCATGTCCTGTGAAACTCCTCAGTCCTGGGGGTTCCAGAGAAACTGGGGTGAGACCCATGTTGAAAGTCCCAAGAGGGATTCCCAGGTTGTTTTGCTAGAGACCCTTTCCCTCTACTCTTAGAACTCATAAGCCACAGAGTGCCATCATCATTGCCCCACCCCCTCCTTGTGCTCAAGGATGGTTTTGCCACTTGCCCTTCACTGCTAAGTGGGTCTGGGAGAGCTTAAAACAGGCTGCTGCAACATTCATATGTTCAGCAAATGTTTTTGACTTCCCAGTATGAGTGCAGTCGTCTTATACACTTGCCCACTTTTTCATATTCTTCCTGCTATACCACTGGGTCACAAACCTCTGCGAACTTACACACTTATTGACAATCATCCATCTAACCCAGTGATGGTGAACCTTTTGAGCTCAGCGTGTCAGCATTTTGAAAAACCCTAACTTAACTCTGGTGCCGTGTCACATAGAAATTTTTTGATATTTGCAACCATAGTAAAACAAAGACATATTTTTGATATTTATTTTATCTATTTAAATGCCATTTAACAAAGAAAAATCAACCAAAAAAATGAGTTCGCGTGTCACCGGTTCGCCATCACTGATCTAACCAGTCAGCAAACATTTTTTTTGGATACCTACTATGTACCTGGCTCTGACTGTATAGGCCCTGGCATTACAGTAGTGAAATAGGCAGATGATATTTCTGCCCACATGAAGCTTATAATTGAGTCTTTAATTTTGAATTGGATAGAAACTGAGATCTCTCCTCAAAGAAATGTTACATGGTCACTGAATTTTCTGATATCAGTGAGTTCATAAACCTCACCTTAAAGCCTAGGATTCGTGCCTTAGAGGGTAACTAAGGGACAGGACACTTTGAAATACAGCTTGGGCCAGGGTGCTCTGGGATGTTATTATCTTCCTTTGCCTTCTTAACTTTGTTGTTTATTTGACAGAAACCATACTCAGGAGGTGTCTGTCTCCAAGAAACAGCCCGGGAAGGCAGCAGCATCTCTCCACCGTGGTTCATGGCCTGTAGCCCCCCACCCCTCTCTGCTTCCTGCAGCCCCATTGGGGGTTCCTCCCAGGTGCTGAGTGAAAGCGAAGAGGAGGAGGAGGGGTCCGTGCGGTGGGGGCGGCAGGCGCTGAGTAAGCGGACACTGTGCCAGCAGGACTTTGGGGACCTGGACTTAAATCTGATTGAGGAGAACTAAAACTGAGAGGCTACTACTTCCTGGGGCCACACAGACTGACTCTCTTATGGCTACTAACAAGTGTCGAGGCTCCAAGACTGGGGCCCAGCCTGGGAATGGGGATGAGTGGAGGGCTCCCACTCAGGGCAGCTGGAAATCTCGCTCCAGGAAGCTCGACCATGCCGAGAGACTGGCCGGGACAAGATAAACAGAGCTGGTGGCGGGAGGGACAGCCCAGAGCAGACCCTTCCCATGGCGGCCCTGAGTGTGAGTATCCCTGCCAATGAGAAAGCAATGGGCAGGGAAGGAAGGGGTCAGCTGACCCCTGCTCGGGGAATTTCACTAGCCCCTTTGCTTCAAAGGGCACTTGTGTCTTAGAATTTGGCCAGGGTGGGGGGTTCATTCAGCCTCCTCGGAGAAATTGTGTGTGAGTGTGTGTGTGCTTGGGAGTATACTTGAGGAAAGGTGTAAAGGTGTGTTTGCGTAGCCTTAGGGAAGGAAGGCAGTTGCTCCTTAATAGAGCATCATGATACCCCCAGGATCTTGAGTTTTCATGGGGCTGTGGGCTTGTTAAAGAAGTCAAAAGGAGGGCACCAAGTTTTTCTTTTTCCTAAGTAGCTTTGGAACCAGGCTTATGATCCATAAGCACCACTGGCTCCGCAAAGGATTCTGTTTGGGGGTACTGCAAGCTCTTTTAAGTGCTGTGACCTCAGCCAATGGTTTTTTCCTCAGGCCCAACCCCCCCTCCCCTAGATAGACTTAGTGTTGGGGCTGGAGAGGGCTCTTCACATTGATTCTGAGCTGGCCTTTTCTTCTTATCAGATTGCCTAGGCTGTATACCACCTGCCTCTCTCACTCTCTAAGTAGATGCAAGCACATGTGGGTAACTGAGGCAGGGTTGAAGGGCTTCATCTCTTTCTTTCCCTCTTTACTGATGGGACCTTTTTCCCCTCACCCTCTGACCTTTGATGCATTTGGACTGCTGACCATTTAAAAGCAGCCTGTGATTGCTTCTTTTGTAAAGCAAGCAAGCAACCTCCCTCTACTTTAGCTGTTTGACTATTTGGATTTTCACACATTGGGCTTACCCAGAGTGTAGCGCATCTCTACAGGGCTGTGGTTGACGCTGGGTAGACATCTGCATCTGTGTTGTGTGTGTGGTGTGGCTGACCAGTAGGTGAGTATTCCTGCGTGTGTGAGTGAAGCCACTCCCAGGCTGGTGCTCTCCTCCTGTGCCCGGTGACTGCCCAGTGGCAGCTTTAGCTGCCCTTCACTCCCACCTGCTGCCAAAGTCCCTGTGCTAATGGGATTACAAATACAAAAAGTGGAAAAAATTTTTTCGTAAACTTTGTTTTATATTAAAAAAAATCCATAAGTCTGTGTGTGTGTTAAACATGAGGTCCTGCCTCTGTGGCCGTGTTTGAAAAAATAAAGTTTTATTAGAATAATCCATTTTCCCAAGCAACCTTGTGTATTACAGTGTCTTCTTCCCATCACCACAAAGAAAGGCAAAGAGGAAGCAGGGAGAAGGCCACCTAACTCTTCCAGCCCCTTCCTCTCTACGGCATGGCTGGGCCTTTGCCCTTCAAGGGCAGTATCTGGTCCGTAGGTCCTATGTGGCCACAGCAATCATATCCTATGGCCTAGGCTTCTGTTAAGGCCTGGGTTATTTCTGGCAGTCTTGATTGGTCTCTGTCTCCTCTTCTCAACTATCACTCTTACTTCTAAGAGATTGAAGTGAAATGTTAATACATTCTAGCTTCCTGAGAATGCTTGATGGTATAGGCAGGGACTTGTCCAGACTGGTTTGTAGGCTTTGGGAAGTGGGGAAAAGTCATGATGGAGACTTGACCGGGAATCTTTTTTAAAAAGATGGAGATTTAGTCATGAGAATTCAGATTTCAAAGACTTAGGTAATTTCTGCATCTTAAAAATAACTACTTTTGTAAAATTATCCTACCAGCAGAGCTTCTCTTTTGCCCTAGAAGATGGTATTTTCCCTGATGCTTCCATTGACTGTTCATTTGTGGAAAGAAGCTGTGTGGTTCACTCTTTCTTTAGATCTTTCTATTCCACCCTTTCTTCTTCCTACGTTAGCATTCTTCCAATGTGTGTGGGTGAAGTGTAGCTGCTTAGAGATCCAGGCAGGAGCCTCTGTCCCTAAGGCATAGCCTTTCTTTACCAGTTTGGTGCTGACTTGCCAGGCAACAAGAAGAGTCAAGTTGCTTAGCCTCCGTCCCAGTTTCCTGCTTCAAATTGGTGGCACTCATTATTGAATACCAATGAAGTGTGCAAGAGGACAGGATTGGCTTGACTACCTGGAGCAGGAACCTTAGAGGGGATGAAAATACACTCTAAAAAGATAGTACTATTACTGCCCTGGAGATAAAGGGAGGGGCTTAGAAGGGATGGGGCAATGGAATGTAGTTAAAGAAGCTCATCATTATAGGTTTTTTTCTTTCCTCAAAACTGCTGTTTGAGCAGGGTTAAAGTTTGAACATCTAAAATGACTCTTCCTCAACCATTTTCCTTTCTGTTCAATTTTTCTGTTGGGTTTTTCTACTGTTTATTGACTTGTGAGGCCAAATGTGATTTCATTTACCAGTCATAATGTAGAAAAGAATGTAAACTCCCTGAGGGCAATGGTTTTGTTTTATTTAGTGTTGTATCCCCAACACTTTAAAAAGTTACTGGCACATGAAAAGTGCTTGCCACATTCGTTGAATGAATTTCCCACCTTTGCCTTCCCATCCCTGAGCTTAGGCACATTTCTGTTTCTGTTCTGTGAGAAGCCAGCTTTGAACATGGGTAGTAAATAGAGCTGCACATGGGAGAAAATTCTAGTGGTGGATTTTTATAGAAAAGCTACAAGCCAGATCCTGTATGGATTCACCCTTGTTCCTTCTTAACTAACTACAACTTGTGGACCATGTGCTTTAAGAGGTGTCTCTTGGCCAAGGAAAGCATTCTTAGGCCCCAGCTTCGCGATAGGTAATGGAAGTTACAAGAAATAGGGAGAGAAAAAAATCCAAAGAAATGTTTCCTTGGTGCTCCACAGGGTTAATTTTAGATTCACTTCCCTAAATGTTTTGTACTTTTACTAAAGTCAATAGTTGGTGCCCACTCCCCATCCCTGCCCCCATTTTTTGCTACAAGTAAAGTAGGTCAAGGGTAAAGACAAGGTTATGGACAGATTACTGGGTAGGTACATTAGTTTTGGTGAAAGAACCAGCTACTGCTCTTTCCTGTCTGTAGGGCAGATCTGTGAAAGAAATAGCCACTTTTAGAGTAACAATCATGAATTAATACTAGACCCTTTATCCTTCTGGTCTGTATACTCAGTCTCTGCATCCATAATACCATGGAACCTGTGCTAGTCTCTGACATTACCAACATTAATGATTGAGCTTTTCCATTGCCTGGAGTGAAAACAACCTAAGCAAAAAATTCAGTATCTCTTCACTACATCCCCTTTCTAACAGGAGCTATAGATCTCCCACACTTAATGTGAATTCAGATTGAGGTGGTGGGGTTTTCTTTATCCCCAGCCCCACTACTTCCATGGTAAGATGGTACTATTGCTGAACCAGAAAAAAGAATCCCCATCATTGGTCCCTTTCCAATTCCCCTAAAAGTTGAGTTGAGAAACACCTGGACTTAATAACATTGGCAGACGTGGAAGGGGAAAAAGCTCTATGGGTTTAAGTCACAATACCAAGATGTTGGAAGCTTATTGGCCTTTGGCCAGTGGCAAGAGTGGCAGTATCATATCCAATGGATGTAATACCTTGGTCAATTGGAAAGGAACCTATGAAGTCATGGTAATATAGAATGGGATGATACCATGTTATGGGCCCGTGAGTAGAAAGATACTGTCTGATGGACCAATGGCGAGAAAGTTTCCTAAAAGACAATGGCAGATAGGGTAGTGCATGTTCAGGATAGGAAATGAATAGGAATTGGGGTGTTAACTTCTCAGCTCAAAACATTCTAGGTACCTTGCCCCTCAGCTCCCCACCCCAGTAAAAGTCTTTAGTGTGCAAGGAGGGTAAGCTCAAGCCTTCTAAGATATGGGACCCCCTGAAGGAAGGTTGGGACCCTGATGGTACCCTGGGGGACTGAAGGACCCGCCCAGTTCCCCACCCCTGCCGAAACTGCAATTCCCCTCCTCGACGCAGGAGGCACTGCAGGCCCTGGGGAGGTTGGGGCGGAGCGCTGCGAGGGGCCCGGAGCTGCCACCCCGCTCCAGAGCGCGGGGGGCGCTGTGCGGGGCCCAGGCTGCGGCTCCGCTCCCGGCCACCGGGGGCGCTGCGCGGCGCTGGTGGTTGGTGGTGGCTGTTGGGGGGGTGGGGGGGAGCCGCGGCCGCGGGTGGTGCGGAGGGAGGCCTTGCGGGCGGATCGGGCGCTCGGCGGCGAAGGTGGTGGGAAGCGGCGGGCGGGAGCGAGGGTCCGGCCGGCCCTGGCGATGGCGGACGCAGCGGCCTCCCCGGTGGGCAAGCGGCTGCTGCTTCTGTTCGCGGACACCACGGCCTCGGCTTCGGCCTCGGTGCCGGCGGCGGCGGCGGGCGGAGATCCCGGGCCTGCGCTGCGCACTCGGGCCTGGCGGGCCGGCACGGTGCGGGCCATGAGCGGGGCGGTGCCCCAAGACTTAGCGGTGAGTGACGGCCGAGGCGGGCACTCGAGGCCGGGGCTGCGGGGCCTGCGGGCGGCCTCCCCGGGGGCCATTGTGAGGGGGCGGTGGGGTGGGGGTGACCCAGTTCCGCGCCCCCAAATCTCCTTAGCGCCCCCCACCGGCTCCTCAGCACCCCGAGTTCTGACCAGCATGGCTTCCGCGTCGGGGTGCGCGCCCCGGTTTCCCTGTTGGGGGGGGCGGCCAGGGCGCCGAGGCTGCTGCCTCCACCCGCAGGCCCCGCCTCCTGAGCGACCCCTTTGCAGCCCCCCTCCCACGCCTTCGGGGCAGAGGCTCCAGAACCCGGGCTCCGGGCCCCTCCGAGTTCGGCCGGTGTTGCCGCCGCCCCTGGGAGCCGCGGAGCTGTGGTGCCCGGCGCTCCCTGCTCCCCGCTCCCCTCCCGGAGCCCGAGTGGGGCGGGAACGTGGGCAGTCGTGAGCAGCGCCGAGGCTGCCGCCGGAGCTGCTCCGGGCTTTTTATCTGGCGGTTACTTCCTCCTCGTCTGAGCCGGGCTCAGCCTGGCGGGTCCAGAAAGCCGGCTCTCGGGGCTCCGGGGCTCGGTTCTCCTGGCCCCGCTGGTGACAGGAGCTGCAGTTTTTGCTACGATTGAGACCCGTCTTTGCTCTCCACTCGGCTACTCTCCTAACCTTGGGAGGGAGAGGTTTTGTTTTGAAACTTTGTGCTGGGGCTTGACCGCTCTGGAGTACTTGCCTTGGTGTCTTTTGTGATTAAAGTTGTTCAGTAATAGAACTTAACTGGCATTCGGGACCAGGATGTGCTATTTTTGCTAATGTGGCGGTAAAAAAAATACTGTCTTTGAGCTTTGGCAAGCCTCTTGAGTTCCTCATTTTGATAAGCAGCCTTAGCTTCTCTTGTGAAATGAGGCTATGAAAAATAGCAGGAATCTTTTGGAGTGTAATGGATCAGTAGGCAGAAGGTACATTTTCTTGGTGAACTTGTATTCGCTATAAACGCGGACACATTTTAGGAGATTGGGTCGTAATATTGTAGGTTTCTGTTATTAATTTTCCTATTGATCAGTGGTGTTACACCCTCCCCCTCCCCCATATACAAGCTTTATGGGTTGCTTGACTGGTGACCGGCTTAGGCTTTGCTTCTGCTGTTTGAGTTTATTTGCTCTTATCTTTCTCCCTGCTACATAAGAAAAGGCTGCTTGAGGACGTTTGTGAGGCTTGCCTGGGGCAAATTTGTAAAAGGATGTCTGGAATATAAGGGTGTGAGGAGGAGGATTAAGGATATTTGCATTTAAATTCCTCTGTGCTTTCTTTAAAAGATTGCTTTCTAGGTTGGGATGGGGGAGAAGTGTCCCTGTGAGATCCAGTAATTTGCCCCCTTGAATGTAAAACATACTTAAGATCCACCATTATATGCAAACTTTGACCACAGGCCTAGGTTTTCATTCTGAATTTTATATTCTAGTTGTTTCCTCCATTACATGAATTGCTAATAAGCTCGGCACCTGAAATGGCTACCCCTGCAGGTTATTGTTCACTGGGCTCCCTAAGGGCAGAGGTTTTAGAAGCTCACTGAGATGCTGGACACCTATTAAACTCAATACTGAATGATTTTTACTGGGCCCATGGAATTTGTTTCTCACACCAAGTGAAAGTTGCAGTGATTCTTAGATATTGAGGTCTTGCATGG